CGACGTGAAGTATGCACTGTCATCCGCAAACAGTGCTAGTTCGACGTCGTCCTCCCATTCTTGCAAGTGTCCTGCCAGTGTGGGTATGTCAACTTTTAGTAAAAAGATAATTATCTTTATTCCCCATCCACCATCAAGATGATCCGTACCATCAAGAGAGCTCTTCCATAAAAAAATAGGAAGCAAGCTTAATAACAGGCTGTGAAATAAATTCGTTTGTCGCTTCAATTTCATACAAAAAGTTAACTTGACAATAAAATGTTTGAGGCATAAAGTAAAAGAACATAGCGGCACGTTATTCCAGAAGCAACTTTTTGTACCTATCTGTAACGTAATAATATGATTTAGAACAGAGAACTAAGAAAACTTAAGAGCCCGAGATGTAAGCAGCAGACTTTAGAAGACAAAAATATGGAAATAAAACCATAAATCAGGAAAATTTCACAAATGAAAAGCAATTGAAAGTAGAACTTAAGAACTTTAAAAAACCGGCCAAGAGCGTGTCGGGCCACGCTCAGTGTAGGGTTCCGTAGTTTCCCGTCCGTCACAATAAGTGTTCCCACTTATGAGTTTAAAGGTGGTATGTATCCATTATGTTCGCGCTCCAGCAGCGCTCCGCGCTCCTGCAACTGCTCCCGGTAGTGGGTACTTCTGTTGTTTCCATCCAAGTTCAAAATGATTTTCCTAGAAAGTCCTTATAAAGTTCTACTTTTCAGATGTTTTTCATTTTTTCTAAACTCATGGTTCAAAAGTTAGAGGGGGGGGGGACACACATTGTTTTTTACTTTTGGAGCGATTATTTCCGAAATTATTGACATTATCAAAAAATGATTTTTGTAAACCCCTATTCATTTTTAAATACCTTTCCAACAATATATCACACGTTAGGGTTTAAATTAAAAAAAAATCACTTCCCACTTTACATATAGGGGGGCTAGCCTAATAAAACATTTTTTTTCCAATTTTTATTTTACCACTTTGTCGGCGTGATTGATACACATATTGGTACCAAATTTCAGCTTTCTAGTGCTAACGGTCACAGAGATTAAGCGAGGACGGACAGACGGACAGACAGACATGGCGAAACTATAAGGGTTCCTAGTTGAATACGGAACCCTAAAAAAGACGCAATATCTTCAAATGATCGATCTTCAAATGATGTTTTAGAAAGCCTTAAACCTTATAATTGAATTTTAAATGACACTTTTTGAAAATGGTGAAATATGAATATGTGGTCATTATTTAACATGAGCTTTTGTTCATTTTACAAAGTAGGTACCTTTTTTAACCGACTTCAAAAAGGAGGAGGTTATACAATTCGATTGTATGGTTTTTTATGTGTAATGTTACGCGATATCTTCGCAGATTATGAGCCGATTTTAATTATTCTTTTTTTATTATTAAATAGTCTATAAGTACCTCAAAAGCGGTCCCGTGTCTGATGCCATGTCAAATCTGATGAAAAATATATCCCTAAGATTGGAAAATAGGGTAAGAGGTTTCATATTACACTGTTGTTTAAGTAATTTTTGATTTTCACCATTCTAATGAACCTTGGCCCGTAGGCGTAGTTTAAGTGACTTAACAATATTATGGTAATCTCAAGCAGATTTAGTAATTGTCTTAACGAGGAATTTATGACTCTTTGAATTTTCAACCAACTTCAAAAAGAAGGAGGTTCTCAAATCGACTGTATGTGGGTTTTTTTTTGTATGTATGTTAAGCGATATCTTCGCAGATTGAGAACTGATTTTAATGATTGTTTTTTTTTTATTAAATAGGCTATACTTATAGAGTGGCCCTACTAATTATAAAAAAATGTTCAATCACTAAGGTCAGGGAAGTTTCATATGTCCAATAGGAAACTTCCTCCCATATTTTCCTGTGTCCTGTTTAAGTAATTTTTGATTTTAACCCACTTTTGGCTAACCGATTCCAATGTGAACTTTGCGTTATTGATTACGTGCCTAAACAATATCACTCGTAAAATCATGCCTGGATATAAAATAGGATATGGTCGTCTTTTGGTTTTTATATCCGTAATTGTCAGCTTAACCACTTTGTACTTCTTAGATAACTTGGTTGCAGATTGGCCTTTCTCTAATCGTTTGTTAATCTCGTATTTATATTTTATTGGTAGTAGGTCAACACGGGACGCTGCGGAGAAGCGAGAAGGTGCTCGCATCCCAATGAGGTGCCGAGGACCGACCTAGCAGTTCGGTTAAGCGGTCGTTCGGTTAATCGACGTTCGGATAATCGACGTTCTACTGTGTTTGGATAACACTAACCGTGTAGCGGCAGTGTAAGAATAGTCATTACCAAACATAATCCCGTGGGAGTTGTTGGAGGCGACAGAGATAAACTGAAATAGGAGATGGGCAGAAGCATCTTCCCGATAACAGCTGTATAAAAATAAAGAACTGCGGCTGGAAAACCCACTTGCCAAGCATGGCAACTATGGCAACTGTCCCTCCTACGAGGTAGTTGTATGTAGATCTATGGGGTATCCTATGTTCAGCAGTGAACTTTTAAGGGTGTAATACCTTCGTAGTTGATAATACACCCACACTACGCTACACTGCAGAGTATTTATAGGTTTAAAGGAATATTCGAGTAGGTACCTACCTAGACTTCGTTTAAACATTTAAACTAGAGTTGGGCCGATTAACCGCCGACTAATCGGGCCCTATTTGCAGTCACCGATTAGTCGGCGATTAATCGGCTAAAACGGCCGATTAATCGGCTTTTTATTTTATTAATTTCAGCAAAGGTTTTTCGTTATTTTCTGCGTGGTAACTGCGGCTACATTGATATGAGTAAAGCTTTAAATTTAAGAAAAGTATAGTTTCTCTCCCATGCGTAAACTCACGTCAGATTTATATGTAGGTAAATCAAATAAATAATAAAATAAGTAGGTTCATACATAACTGTTATGAAAAATCAGTCTCACATGTTTTAATGTTAACTATGCTGGACATAGGAACTTTGGTAAAAAAAAGAATCTGAGGTAGCTATTTAAAACTAAACAAAAACCAAGCACTTACTATTTTAATTCTACTTTTTAATTTTTTCTAATCGTAATTTAGAGTAGTGCCACAACAAAATAAAATATTAATGATATTATTCTTAATAAACTTTAAAAAAAATTTAAGTCTCTCCCTGTCCATAACAAAAAACACATTATTCGTGAATAAAGTTTGTTAAACTATACGCATATATAGATTTTTAAAAGACAAATAGAACATACTTGTTTCCGTACTTAAAACTAAATTGTTATTGTTTTTGTACTAAAAATTAAATCAAATAGTTATTTTTCTGCACTTAAAATTACAATATTTTTTTCCTGTAATGTTATTAAATAAAGAATCTATAATCATCTAATAATTTGTTAAAAAGAAACTCCATTTGAAAAATTATTGAAGGCTTTTTAGAAAATATTTAATTTATTTGTTATTTTTAACCAGTGGCAAATTGTGATACAAAAAGGCCAAAATCTCAGCCTTTTCTGGTTGAAGTCGATTTCTTTTTGTTTCTTAGATACTAGATATTCCCTGTCTCAGAAAAAAGTCTCTCACTATACACAGAGCTGGCGGGGCAGCAAAGGAAAACTTTGGCTAAACGGGACATTTCTGGGTATCTGGAAGAAGTTTTGTTCTACCATATGAATTTATCATCGCATAGGGATCGGCTGGGTCGATTAGTGGGCCGATTAATCGGTCATTTCTTGACCGATTAATCGGCTAATCGGCCAATCGGCCAAAGTACTAATCGGCCCAACTCTAATTTAAACATATTCCATTAGTCAACCATTAGTAGGTAGGTACCTATGTAGTACGAATAAGATATGATGAATTGTTTTTGAATTGCTGCAATGTAATAATAGATTAATAAATAGTACCTATATGTATAGTTTCAATTCAATTAGATACATAAAGAACATGTAAATGACTTTTGTTTTTGCTTTTTTAATTTTAATACCTATTTCCATTATGTACAACTCTCCATAATTTATATATTTTCACCTCCAATATTAAAATAGCAGCAAATTTAAAAGGATTATCCAGAGCCATCTAGTGGTCGTCCTACAATAGTACATAAATATTATTAGAACGACAAAGTACCGTTTTAATGCGTCACTGGTCTTCTTGTTAACATGAATGAATTCTGAATTAGAACGCGTCCAATCAATAGTACTGAGAATGTTAGAGCAGATGGCGACACTTAATTTAAGCACTATCAAATGGAATACTTTTAAAGACTTCCCATATAAAAATTATGTATAAATTATAATTAAATTGTTTTTCCGGTATACCAATACAAGTATATTACTACTATTATAACATGATTACACATCTTATTTTATTTTTTCTATTTTATAATAAAAAATACTCTTTTGACTTCGTAACAGTAAAGTTTAGCGTCAGTCTAAAATGGGACAACTTTTTACCGCCATCTTACGTCCAATCTGTCAACTTCAGTCGTTTTTAGAAGAGTAATTTCATTTAGAATGTTTTGTGTGAAGCGAAGATTGAAATAGGTACAACCAAGTTGTAGTTGCACGATAATGTTTGTAATTTTATTGGTAACTTCATGAAAATAGACACTTAACAATGTGGCGCAAAATTCAAGTGATAATACCAAATCGTGTCTTAGGAAGTACTTTCATCTGCGACATTTAATGGTGTGGATGTGGTGAGTATACGACAGTAAAAATGAAGATCGATCGTTATTTTGTAACAACTGTAATGTAAATATACATAAACATTTGGTGAACAAACTTTTCTTTGGCAGCAATAACAAGTACCACGATGTCGGATATCAAACAAGTGAAAGTGGACAATTGGGGAATATATTTTCTTCAGCGACTGAAGCATTTCTTCAATCGTACGGATTATTGTGACCTGACACTACAATTTCAAGACAATGCCCAACTAAAGGTACATAGATTAGTTCTTAGCGCTTGCACGGAGTACTTTGAATTACTTGAAAGAACATGCGAGATGTACGAAGACTGCTTGGTTATGCCTGATGATTTGCAAGCAGATGTTGTCGTTCCTATAGTGAATTTTATGTACACAGGACAACTAGAATTTAAACCAGAGTTACTAGAAAAATTACATCAAACATCACAAGTGATGAATATGCCAGTGTTAACAAAATTACTTGATGCTCATCGCAGCCAGCCACGGAGACCTCCAATTACACATGATTATCGCAATATCAGATCTTATTCTAAAACATATGACTCGACTAAACATTCAAAACCAACAACAGCAGTTGCTTCTACTAGTTATATACCTGCAAAACGATCTTACAATAAAGCATTTGAAAATAGTGGAGTGATACAAAGAAGTAAAAGGCAAAATATTGAAAAATCGTTGACCAAGCCAGATAAGGTTTCTAATAATGGTATTCAACAAACTTATTTAGAAACGGTAGATTATCCAGTATCGTTTAACAAAAATCAAATCTTTAAAGAACCCCGACCAACGAGATATGAGCTTCCAGAGGAATTAGACGTGGACAATGTATTTGATGATTCATTTACAAGTATATCATATACTTCAACACCCTTAATGGTCCACCCTGATACTGTAAAGCGATATTCATCAAAAAAATCCAGTATTTTTGATGACACATCCAGCAGAAAAAGATTTATTCAAGGCACATCTATCGTTGACATAGTAGAATGCAAGAAGATCTCAATGAATGACAACATTTTTGAAGATGTCTCAGAAAATATTCATGATGACAATTTTTCACCCTCATTGTCAATAAACTCAAAGGATGAACAGAAGGATGCAAGTCAATTGTTTGATCAAATTGTAGAAAGTGATAATCAGAAGACTATAGGGGCAAAAGAAATTGATAAAAGTAAACCTAAGCTAGACCATGCCAAAATAATAAGTGAAGTGTTAAAGAAATATCCACATTTGGTTAAAAGCAACAAAAATATAAAATTGAAAATACTTAATCCACCTAGTAAATCCAAAAAATCTAAAACTGCTACTAATATATTAAATGAGGATAAAGATATAAAACCAAAAATTGAACCATCAGATTTTACATATGAAACAGATGTTATTGATTCAAAAGAAGCTGCAAAGTTAATAGCAATGGGAGCAGAAAATGTTAAAGGTCCATGGATTTGTCTTATTTGTGGCACACCTGGACGAGCTCTGCATTTTACATCATATTACAAATTTCGACGTCATTTGGTTGATGTACATAATGAAAAGCCCATGCCAAATATATGTGAGTATTGTGGCTTAAAATCACTGAAAAGGAATTATATTTTACATCATTTATACACAAAACATGGCGTAGAGCCGCCGCCTCATTACCATTTTCCGAAATGCAATTATTGTAATTATGTTGCTCTAACTGAGGCATTCCTCGTAAAGCACAAATTGACACATGTTGAAAACAGAAATTTTGGTTGTAATGTGTGTGCAGCATCATTTAGTTCTTCTAATCAATTACTTGAGCACATCCAGAAAACAGGCCACAAGTATAGTGCGGAAAGAAAAAATAGCTTGCAGTGTATATACTGTCTTAAAACTTTTTCAAGAGAAACCAACCTTTATGCTCACTTGAAAATTAATCATAAACAGTCTGCACAAAATGATGGAATTATTGATGATTCTGATGAAGAAAAACTAGATGAGAAAGTAAAGGAAAAGCCCGATAATGTGAAATATGGTCCTGTAAAATATGAACTTCCAGTCGCATTTGATAGTGATTATGAAAATGTGGATGTGCAATATCAAATACAACAAAAACCTGATGGTAATATTCACATTCTTCCAACATCCCCAGAATCATCTGTACTATCTGCAAAACATAAAATATTAAATCCTGGTTTTAATTCACCAACAAAGTTAATGAAAAAATCAAAATCAGCTGCTTGCAATACAGCTAAACAAGACAATATTCGAACTGTAACTACACCTTTAGTTAATAATCAAAATGAGGGAGTTATTATGATAGATGGCAGTGAATATATTGTTAAAGATAATCAACTTATTCCAAATAGTGCAAATACTTCCAATGAAGAATACTTACTAGCAAATGTTATTGCTGAAGGTGATGAAAATTCAATGCCAAGTACATCAGTAGAATTTCCTAATATACATCACACTGATTTAAAACAATCTAAAATGACGATAAAGAAGACAACAAATCTGAACCATCCTATACAAATAGTTGTTTCAAATGAAGACGAATATAAAGCTTTGATGTCATCCAATCACTCAATCATATTTGAAGAAGGAGATGCTAATAAAACACTAGCAGTTTTAACTGCCCCCCAAGATCCATCCCTCGAAGGTACTACTGCAAGTCTTGATAATACTCAATCTAATGAAATGATGATTATTCAAGAAGGTTATCCATTAAATGTTACTGAAACTGTTACTGCAGATAATTCCAATATAGTTGTAGTTTACAGTCATCAAATGGATGAAGCAAATAAACAATATCAATATATAACATCACAAAATATTGAAACACAATTTATTCAATCTTCTGCAATGATAACTCATAATTGTGACACTATAACTACTTCCACCCCTGTTATGAGTGCTCATGCTGTAGATACACAGGTAGAGCAACCTTGGCAGAATAATATAAATGAAAGTGTTGATAAAATTCAAATTGAATCACAACAGCAAACACAAACGGAACAATCTGTGCTACCAAAAATAATAGAAAGTTTGCGAAATTCTTCTGACCTAATTGAGCTTCAAGAATTATCATTATCAAAGACAGATATGTCAACCATAACCACTGATGTCAATACTGTTGAAATAACTACTGTTAGTAGTACTACAAGTATTATAAGCACTAATGATATTATTGCACAGAGTATGGATCAAGTAATAGTTCAAGAAGATGATAATAATTCTTTAGTAAATACTAACATTTCAGTATCCATTGACCAACTAGTACACAAAGAAATACAAACTGAAAACACAAATGAGAATATTTGTAAACAACTTGACATTTTAAAATGTAGAACGGACAATGGACATAACAAACAACCTCATATTGATAATGAAGGACTCCATAATCAAAATATGGTTGTTATAGAAAAAACTGATGAAGAAAATATTTCAAGTAAAAATGAAAATCGAACAATTGTGGAAAATGAACAAAACTCCACACAAGAAGATAATATCCCATCTATCAGTAACATTGAAGTTTCATTACCGAATATTGCTAAAAAACAGATTCAAAATTTAGCAACAGAATGGTCTGTAGAAGAAAATGATATTGAGACAACAAATAAATTAAATACGAAAACAGATGAAAATAGTGGAACATCTGAGTGCACGCAAAATGTTAAAACTCTAGACACGGTATCTTCTATCTATGTAGAAGAATCGATTGAGAATATCCAACAAGAAATGGCAAAGCAAATGGAAGCCATTGTAACTAAATGCAGTACTGTAGTGCAAGTTCTAGAACCTCAAACTGTTATTAGTGCTCCACAACCAACAATTGTGACCGAGGCATCGGAACAAGAAGCTGAACTTGAAATTATACAAACTAATATTGATAGTGCTGAAACTACCAGTGCCGAAACTGATATTTCAGTATCAACGTTAACAACCAAGCAAACGGAAACAGATATGATTAAAAATAATACTCAATCAATTAAAGTTATACCAGAAAATATAGAAAGTAATATTCAAACTGATCCTGAGAATACAATTGTGGAATCTAATTCAAGTCCTATAAATACCATTGCTGAAACTTTAGTTGTTCGTAATGACGTCGTTAAAACACAAATAGTAGAAACAACAGCAGAAAGTAGTAGTAATAGAAAAGTATTAACTCCTGAGGCAGATGTCGAAGAGAATATTAATTCGCCTCAAGGAGATACACCGAAACAAATGCCGCAAACTGTTATAACATTAAATAAAACAGCACATGACAAAATTTCTTCACTTTTGAATGACTGGGAAGATAATGATTCCCAAGAAGATAATGCCCCTAAAAATAGAAATGATCTTGCTTTGGCTAATGAAAAAGATTTGAATGATGATTGTAATGCAATAAACACAGAAGTAGGCCCAGAGAAGATTAATGAACCAACCAATAACATTAAAAGTTTAGTAAGTGACTGGGATGATGATGATGATGAATTAAAATGAAAAAGAATGTGCACAGTAACATTCAACCTTGTGTTGTATATTAATTCTTCAAAAATTTGCTTCCAATTTCTTGTTGTTTTTGTAAAAGGACAATCTCTTTACAAATTTCCATTATTAGATATAAAGAGTGAGATTTGCATTTAAGTGTAACATTATACTTGCTATAATGCAGAGCTATACACATACTTGTCTCCTTTTTTAAATAAATTTTCAATCATATGCATTTTGACATCAACCTACTATCAGCTTTTAATTTGTTAATTCAAAATATGTTTTCTCTGTCTAATTATCATGTGCATAAGATCGTTTTTTTTTTGTCGACATTAAAAAATTTAATGTTTGTTAATATTTAAAGATAAAAACCATCTCACTATATTAATGTGTATAGTAAAGTAGGTACTGCATTTTATGGAAATCAGTATGTGGATAGAGTCAATGGATTTCATATGTACAATGAAACCATGTTTGATAAGATTATAAGGCAGTTCAGGACTTTTTTTTTATTAGAAATTATATAATTTTTTGAGATAACATTTTAGTTACTTCAATATTTATGCCTAAATATGGATAATTATTATTTTTAAGTTTTATATATTGTGTTATTTCATACCTTGACACCTTACCACAATGTAAATACAAAAACCGCTTTTACTACACAAAAGATATTTGACAAATTACTGAAGGGGAGAGTTCAAGCTATAACTGTTATATGTAGTTTATCATGTAAATATTTATGTTTGTATGTAAGAAATACACCATACTACAGTACTACAAACATCTTAAAATACATATAAAGCATTATTTGCCAATGAAGTAATGCAGTCTAATTACTTTATTAATGCATTCTGTAATTGATATTATAATTTGTAATCACTATATTAATTAGTTCTAAACATTTTAATTATTATATAAAATCATAACACTTAATAAAAATAAAATAAAACCTTTGTTTTTTTTTAAATGCAAATTGATTAGTTGCTGCTCAAATTAGTTATTAAACCAATGTCTGCAAGCACTACTTGAATCTTTGGATATTTTGTTATTACTTGTAAAACTCCTCATATCCAATCATGTAATAAGAGGCAGTGTCAGAAATAGATGCATTCACAATGGAACTAGTTTGTGTAAAAAGTAAGCAAGATGTATATTTTTACAATTGTTGCCACCAGAAAACCTAGTTCGGACCCAAGATCAGAGGTACTTTGAATACCCATGCTGACAAGTTGGTAACATAAATTTAATGGCTTTTATGATGATCTAATTTATATGTTTGTACAAATAGATAAATATGCATCAGCTTGCAAAAGTTTACTGCTGGGCATGGGCCACTCCCATTGTTAGGCATTTGGAAAATGTATTAATAGTTTTATTAAAATACAATACAATGACAAATAAATTGTTAAACAGATTATCAATGATAGTCTTTTGACTAAGTTGTTTTTATAAATTCAACAATTTTTCTCGAAACACAAAATTTCCAAATTTTAAAAAATTCTACTACAAACTAAAAAAATTTTTAACCATTAAACAATTATTACCAACAAAAAAAACCTTAAATTATAAATTTATGGGTACAAGAATAAAACAAATTGTGTATAAAAATACTGTTTATTTTATTCAATATATTTCCAACAATGCACTTGCAGTATAATTTTTCTATTGTTACTTTCACATATGTTTGCAGAATCATGAGTGAAATATCTAATCAGAAGAGATAGTCACTTCATTTGAGAATGATGTAGGTTATTCCACTACAATCGCTTAGAAGATTTAATAACAATGAAAATCCCCTTTTTGGGATTGTAATGACTAGTTTTAGTGTAATTATGTATTCTTTCTAATTTTATTCCAAATTAAGAAGTTAGGTTTGGATGATGTAAAACAACCGATAATAAAAAGACCCTAACGAGAATGTGGGATGGGACCTAGTTCTAAACATTTAAAATGTTTTCTAGAATTAATAACATGATAAGTATTACCTATATTTCTTGGTACTTGTTGTATGCTACTAACAAGAAAAAATAAAATACTGAAATGACCTTGTCTTGTCATTTCAATAATATCCTAGTAAAGATAAAGTAATTTACCATATGGGTTTCTTCAAATTCCTATGGTATTGGTATGGTTTTTTAATCCAAATTTATGCATATAAAATCTGATATCACAATATCGTAAACCTTGCCATGAAATTCCATAATAAATTATTATGACAAGTTGCTAATTTAAAACTGCTTAAAAGATGCAAATGAAATAGGTAGTTTATTTAAAAGGTATAGCAATGAAGAGTGTTACTTAGACTCCCTGGATATTCAGTGCTACATTTTAATTGAGTGTTGTTAAATCTCCTTAACCTTAAAGGAAAGACAGAGAAGCTCAGGCCTAACTTATAAAATAATATGTCAGCTAGCAGTTAGTAATTTTAATGAATGTGAATTTTATTTTAAGAATAGGGGAAAGTTTGATATAAAGTAGGTGCTAAATTTTAAATTCATAAGATTACACACAATAAGTGAACATGGTCATACATTTAATGACATTGTTTTTATATAAACAAGAGGAATAAAGAATAAGTAGTAAGAAAAATGGAATCAATTTATTCAATAACATTTTCATAAATGCAGCCACTAATACAACTGTAGTTAGTTTTTCAGTTAATTTTACTTTTAACAAATAAATAACAGCATGCATCATCTACTTTTAACTCTGCAGGTACATCACATTAAAACAAAGTATGATGTAGCAAAATGAATTATAATAAATATCCATTTATTCTAAAACTTATTTGCAAATATTCGGCTGCTTGTGAACATTCAGTTACATAGTCACTGAATTATATAATATATATTTACAAAATAAGTTACATTATTTACATTTTATGTACTGCAAATAATTGAAAAAAATCAAGCCTGTCTTCCTAATCAGAGATAGAAATTAAAACATATTTGACCATATATGCAAGGAACACAAAACCAACCAGCACAAAAATATTTGTTAAAATATAATACATGTTCGATTGTTGTTCTGAAGTCACTTCACTTTCACTGTCTGAGTTAGAATTACCAGCATGTAGCATCGCTTCCTGTCTTTGTTTTAACTGTTGCTCAATTTCTTCTACATATTCAGGAAAGAGCTCACAGAACATTTTATTTTTAATATTAATTTCAAGTGACTCAGCAGCCAAACAACGCTTCTGGTAATCAGAAGTCTCTATGGACCCTAAAGTTGGAGTTTTCTCCAACATAAAACTCAGAAGTCCAGTTAAGATGGTTGAGATGGACCATGCTGGATTCCAAGTATCGGGGTGAAAATCAGTAATACTTAGGCATAATCTTGTATTAGTTTTAAATCTTCCATTTGGTGTAATCATATAAATAGACGGCGGCTTAAACGGAAATTCCCTGGGGAAAATAATTTTGCCATGATAGTAACCTCCTTCATATGGACTTTTCTCTGGTCCTTTCACAACGTAATGCCACTCCAAAATATTAGAAGGAACGGGCTCTGCAGTAACATATGGTACAGGATCATTCTTGAGTCTAAGATAATCTTGCTTAAGCCTACTAGTGGCACCAGTCACTTTAGTTTTTGCCATTATTTAGCGCATTAGTCAAGAATTTCAGTCAAATATTCAGGTACTATTTTTAAATTAGAGCGTTGGATACATTTTATCCTTTTTATTTTGTTAAAAGTCACGTTTCCACGAATTTATCGACTAAAACAAATAATCGCTAACAAATAAAATACCTATTCGTACAATACGTCCATAGAGTAGAGTAATATATACAGAAAAATACGTCATTAGCCGTGGACAGAGAATCCTATAGACACCAGCACCAGCATAGCGTGTCGCAGAAAGAGACAAAAAAATACGTCACTATATTTAGGGTTACAAATGTGAGGAAAAATTTACCCCACAACTAGCTATAAAGTAGAAATTAGTACGTAAAGTAAGCCTGAAAAGGAACACTGCCATTAACGATTATCATTGATAGGTATTGTAGTGGATGGAGAGCTAAGTGGACTGTATTTGACTAATTATTTATTATAATTTACTTTTGTGAAGAAAGAAGAAACTAAAAAAATGTGATATCTATGTGACTAAAATGAATGAGAGCTTAGTGGACTGTATTTATGTAGGTTGTGTTTTAATCTTTAAGAATGAAGATATTGAACTAACTGTTACCAGCCCTCTGTCACTCTTGTTACCTACTTACTTACTTATCTTCACGCACAATCCCTAACGGGGTAGCCAGAGAGAACAGATCGCCAAGTGTCACGATCCTTACATACCTCTTTCGCTTCTTTCAGGTTCATTAACTTCTTCATACATGCATGTCTAGGTATCCGAGTACTCTTGACCCTCCCCTCTTCGAGCAATTTGCTCACATGGTATTCGAAAGTTAGTCTCGGTCTACCTCGAAACCTTTTAATATTTACTTTCGCTCTATATATTTTCTTCACCATTCGGTCTTCACTCATTCGTTCAACGTGCCCAAACCATTGGAGTACGCCCCTATCAATTTTTGTGATAAGGTCATCTTTCAATCCTGCCATATTGCGAATCTCTTCGTTTGGCTTTCGGTCGGCTATGGTAACGCCACACATTTTACGAAGAGATCGCATCTCCACTGCATTCAACTTGCTTTTATGCTTCTTCTCGCATACCCAGGTTTCGCTGCCATATAACAAAGTCGGTACCAACACTGCGTTATGTATTGCAAAGCGTGCACTCTTCACCACGCCTTGCCTTTTTACTAATGCATTCAGGGCACCATTGACTTTGTTTCCGGCAGCGACATGCCTATCCACACATCTAAATCACATCTTCCATCCCGGCTGAAAGCACTCCCCAAGTATACAATTTCATTTACCTGTTCTAGACATTCCTGATTTACCCATATTTCACATTTCGTTGTCTCTTCGTCCTTTTCAAATACCAGACTCTTGTTACCTGCGTGAAATAATTACCTACAATCGCTAGGCACCCAGGGTAACATACG